TGTATTAAATATCTTGAATTGCAGTCCTTTGGTAACTGACCCTGGTTCGTGGCTACAGTTTCTCCCGACTATCACCCCGCCTATTCCCGCCACCCCGTCCCCCACTGTTGTGAGCAGTCCCAGGAAATGTCTGGTTAAACTTTTTTGCTCCAAGAGAACATTTCCGATCTCGGGAATCACTCCACTGAACGGGATTTCCTCATCCCTGGGCATGTTGCAAGGCGGAGCATTGTGAAGAGATTTTGGGAAAATATTGACAGTTGGGAGTGGGGTGGAGAGGCGGGGCGATGTTAAGGAAGCAAAACAGAAAACCCAGTCTCCAGCTTTTTGAATCTTCAGAAACTCTTCGAAACAGGAATCACAAGAGAATGAAAGGTGAACTTTCCGACTGAGCACAAACAGTCAAGACACCTGCCCCTTCTGTTGAAGGCTGGGATATTGACTCTGATTTTCTCGGAACATGAACTGACTTGAGACTTTGAAAGGATTTTCGTTCCTGCACATCAGGAATTCAAATCTCATCTCGGCTATGGGACAATGAGACAAACAAAAACTGTTGGACAAACTCAGCAGGTTTGGCAGTACCTGTGGGATAAAAGAGAGTTCTGAAACGTTGACTCTGATTCTCTGCCAGATCTGCTGAGCTTTTCCTGAAATTTATGTTTTTGTTTTTAAATGAATGTTTATCCCATCTGTTGGGATGAAACAGCCGGATCTACCATGTACTTAATTTAACCCTTTAGAAATCTGAGAAGTGATTGGATTCAAACAAACCGAGTAATGATTCACTCTTCCTCAGCTGCACACAGAGAGAGAGAGACCTGGAAAGCAGAGCCAGTGTTGCGACGTGTGTAGTAGTGACCGAGTGGTTAAGGCGATGTACAAGAAATCAGTTGGCTATCCCTGCCCTGTTTGAATCCTGTCGACTACGGTTGAGAGCTGAAAGGTATTTGCTCCTTATATTCTTGTTTATGAGAGGTATTACAGGAGGGGTGGCTGACGAATACTTCACCCAAATCGGTTATGAGGAGCATAGGCCAATCACTGCCTGTTAGAGAGCAAGAAGCAGAAAACCTCATAAGATTTAAGATACATTTAAATGTACACTGACGTTGCTAACCTTCTTGAGTCATTAAGGCAAGTGCGGGTAAAGGAGACGAGAACAGTCAGGGGCTTGAGTTCAACTGCTGCAGACCTGATGGGCTGAGGGGTGTTTTTCTGTGCTGGGGATCTCTTAGACCAGCTGCGGTGAGCTTAGTTTGTGAAGTGATAGGACAACGTTTGCAAAATGCACCAGTGCCAGGAAGGGATCGAACCGACTCTCCCCTGATCTATCTGTCAGACACGTTATCCATTGAGACATTGGGATTGGGGTAACTGGCACTCTGCATATTCCTGGAATCACTATTGGGAGAATCAGGAAGATGCGATCTTGGTGTCTCTTTACCCAGCCGTTTGCAAACCCATCGCTTCTCAATCCCTCGTGCCTTACATTTCCTGGCCCTGCTTTCCAGGTAATGATTGGCGTCACAATCTGCCTGTTTGTATCAAGCAGCTCATTGACCTCGGAGTTGGGCGGTCAGAGAGAGCTAGAGGTGAGACGGGGACACAGGCAGAAAGAGAAGCGACAAGTCGTGTGTCAGTTGCTTTTCGTTAGCGATGCCTGCCGGAGGCTGTCCTGTCAGATTCCCAGGAGCTGCAGTGATTGGATAGGTGAGTATTCGAAATTAAAAGTTGCACGTGAGCAGCCTGTGAGACTATTTCAGCTCACTGTCCATTTTATATCCCAGCTCACGGAAACAGTTCTCATTGTCTGGAGAAGTTGCTTGTGTTCCACCTAAAGCTTCCTTTTATCGCAGGAGCTTGCGCCTGGGGACGGAGAGCGGACGTGAAGCACATGGAGCAGGTATAATCCTGAGGTCTCTGTCACTCTTGGAGATGTGCCCCTGTGTCTCCCTCAGTGGGTGAAAATGAGGATGATCTCCTCAAGGAGGTATTAACACCGTTTTACCATTTCAAACTTCAGCCCATTTGTTGTGTTATTCGACATCACAGGGATAACTGCATTGACATGTGCCTTTGTAAAGTCAAAACACACAAGGCTGTGAGCCAAATGCTCGAAACTGGGACTAGAATGAAGGGAAGTTTGATGATCTGCACTGAAACGATGGGTCAAATGGTCTTCTTCCACGCTGTTAAAAACTCAGAGACGGAGAAAACGATCTGCAGCGAATATGTTCAGAAATGAAAATGTAAAAGCAGTGTCATTAGGAAAAGACACGACTTACTCTGTTGTATTTCTTCATGGTCCAGCGGTTAGGATTTAGCGCTTTCTGTGCCGCTGCCTGGGTTCAATCTCAAGTCAGGGAATAGAAGTTCTGTTATGATAATTTATCGAGGTGCCAGCACTTCTGACTGATCAGGAGCTCGCAGCTAATCTGATTTGTCCCAAACGTTGTGCAGGTTAACATAAAACAAAAAACTGTGGCAGTCTGACACAAAACAGCAATTGGTAGAGAAATTCAGCAACCCTGGCAGTATCTGTAGTGAGAATCAAAGCTGACGATTCAGTTCCACTGACTGTTCGTCCCTACAAGGTTAATTATGCATTTCTGTATGATAATGTCGAGAGAAATTATTCGGTTTATCTTTCGAATCAACGTATTCATCAAAATCGCTCTCTCATTAGCTTACTCACTCCAACTTTACAACTTTAAAGGGACTTCATCAGCTGTAATGCTGCTTCCGTTGCCATGAGGTGGTAAAAGGCTCTGCTTAAATGGTTGTCTTTATCTTTTCCTTTCTCTCAGTTAGCACCCATGTCGAATGGAGAATTGGTCCTTTCAGTGTCTACCACAATATGTGTCTCTATTTGTCTCTCTTTGACTCTGTGTATCCACCTCACCCCCATTCACATTCTCCGACTTTCCATTGTCCACATCCACCATTTCCCATTTCTGCTCTTTGAAAAGTCTGAAATTCGGAAACACTTTGAGACTGGAGTGTCTAGAACTGGGCTCACATTCCTTGGATAAGTGTCTGTCTGTTATGACTGAGGTATGGAGTCATTTCTTGTCTCAAAAGATTGTGAATCTTCAGAATTCAAAATAGAATTCCTAATCCACCAAAAAAATAACAATTCCACCACAATTATAATATTATAGCGATGTCTTTACTGTTGGTGTAAAAATGAATGAGGGTGATCTTTTCAAAGAGCAGAAATGGGGAATGAGGGATGTGGACAATGGAGTGTCAGAGAGTGTGAAAGAGGGTGAGGTGGATACACAGAGTCAAAGACAGACAAATGAAGACACATATTGTGGTAGACGCAGAAAGGACCAATTCTCCATTCGAAATGGCTGCGAACAGACAGAAAGGAAAAGAAAAATGTCTGTGCCATTACGACAACATTCCCCGGTAAGTCTACTGTTTATCCAGCCTCACCTCGTTATTCCGACCAAAATGTGAATGAAGGGATGAGAATACAAGAAAAGGAGAAGCAGAAGTGCTTGTGGAACAGCAGAAAGGAAGTTCATGGAGAATCGAGCAGAAAAAGAGGAGACACTGAAGCAGCCTCCTGACGACAAATGTATCTTCTTGGCCAGTAAAACTCACGGCTTCACAAATCAGGGACCTTGAAGTGAAGCAGTGACAGTGATTATCTTTGTTGGTTGTTCACGCTGTGAATGTTACCGTTCTTGCTCATGTCCGTGATAACACCACAAATCTACTGCATGTAAGCATCACACGTAAATCGGTGATAGGTTCTGAAAACAGAAAGTCCTCCAGCTGCGCAATGAGGCTGACTCCCTGCATTAGGGGCTTTTGCAGAGCCCAATGTTAACAGGTTCTGTTTTGCAATTGGTCAGTGCATTCGGATATTGAGAGAAAGACTGGTGTTTTGAGACTACACAGGAATGCAGCCTCTTGTGTTTTCCTACTCATTGACGTTTCCGGTGACACAGAAGATTGTCAATCAGGATTGCACCTTCAGGAGATAGCTTCGAAACTTTGTCAGCTCCACAGTTATCCAGTCAGACCCCGGACATACAGGTTTTAATACAGTTATTATCAAAATATACCTTCATTTAATTCATAGAAATCTATGAAGAGATTGGAATCAAATAAACCCATGAAGGATTTTCTCCTCCTTTGCTCCACACGGAGTGAGACAGGGACAAGCAGTCGGATTTGACCCCGCACTCTCCAATCCTCTGTTGCCAGCAGAAAGCGGCCACTGCAGATTTAATCAGCCGCTTCGTGTCCATCCTTGGGAGGCAAATCCTCTAACTGGGGCCAAACCTCTCAATGCACCGAGCACAGGCTCAGAAAAACACAGGGAGATTCCATCATGCTCAGTAAACTTCAGAGCAACATTGACACAATCTCCAAGTGAGTGGAACTTACTCTGAGCCTCACTTGGGAAACCTCATTTGATACAACGAGTGGAAACCTGTTCCTTCTGAACAGTTGTTCCCGTGTGGAAAAGGGCGAAAATCATTTTACATTTCACAACGGCTGCAGCAAATTCTTCTTGACCTTCGAATCTTTTTAACCGAACTGTGAAAATCCAGTCCCCAAATGCGAAGCTGCAGAATTTGCTGATGTACCGAACAAACAAAGTGCTGAATGTATTGAGTGAGACTGGGCAGACAGACACGCATTTCACACAGTCTGTAACAGAAATGATTGGATTTATTGAAGCAGATTCACCGTCTCTCAGAGTGACTGACAGTCGCATGGGCAACTCAAGGATGAGGGCACCGACATTAAAATATGAATTTTGAATGTTAAATCCCGGAACAAGCGCTGTAAATGGATTATAATGGTCTGAAGGAGTAACAGCTGAAAAGTAGAAGATGAAACTGATGTTATTTGTGATTGAGAGGAACGAACTGGAAACTTGTGATTTTCCAGGTGGATCATCTTTGGCACATTGAAATTAGGTTGCAAGGGATTTATCTCAGTCTGAAATGGGAAAATAAGCACTTACCAATTGAGCCCGGCTCGCTCAGTTGGGAGAGCATGAAACTCTTAACTTCAGCGTCGTGGGTTCGAGCCCCATGCTGGGCGTCTTCACTTCTTGCAACTTTATTTTCTGAGGTGAAGGCCAGCTCTTCAATCTTCCAACAGCATGAGTGAAACGAGAAGCTTCAGCCGTGCCGAAAACATGGTTTCTCTTCTGCTGCTTTGATTAAGATACTGGTTTCCTGTTTTAGAGTGCAAATTGTTTCCACTTCACTGGAAGTCCCAGAGATCAACTTGTAGGTGCAGCCGCTTGTATAATAAATGTCAAGACTTTTAAAGGGGCAAACCCAACTCCAATCCTGCACCAACAAGACTGTTCAGAGTCACAGAATGAGAATGGTCACTTCCTGGGCGTCTCCATGTCAAATGGAGCTGAACCAGAATTACCTAATTCTGAGGATACCACAGGAAGAATCAATGAAGTCTCCCTGAACATTACCGAATTCACAAGGAAAATTATCTTCTTTTGTGACCGTGTGGGTTTATTCAATAAAATCTTCATTCTCGGTAACAGAGCGGAAAAATTGTGAGTTTTCAGTGTGTGTCAGAAGTGATGTGGGTGAACCCGGAAGTATGGTGCAGTCATGTGTTCTTTATCGAAGCATAATCTCCTTTCGCACAGGCACATTATATTTGTTGCTCAACCGAATCTCACCAGATGCGTTCAGCTTTGCGTTGATATTGGTTTTGATTGCAGGGCTATCAGCATCTGGCACGAAACTGATATTGTAGCCGGGCATAACTAAGCAGCAAAGAAAATGGACAAGAGGATGGGGTTCCTCGCAAGAATTTCCCGGTGCCTTTGTATCAGTTGTGTGAGGTAGAATCATTGGAAAATGTCATATGTGAGCTCTGAGCCTGTAGTGTGATGATATGGCCGAGGGGTCTAAGCTGCTGGATTTCGATTTCAATCTCTGAAAAGGGGTGGGTTTGAATCCCACTATAGCTACCTGTTATGTCGAAGCTGCGTTTAACTTCTCTTTGTTTTGCCCAAAGTAATCTTTGACGTGGGACAGCACAACAGCCTCCATCGAGTCAGCGTCCACGGCATGTTTCCATGGTGCAGTAGTTATCGCGTGCGGAATGCCCCCAGCATGATAGCGGGAACAAGCAGGCTGCACTGCTGTTCCATGTCCCAGGCAAGTTGCGTTGCTCACCCTATTCACTGAAAGTGAATGCTGATGGTTATTTTGCTGCTGGAGTGAAACAAAATCCTGCATTGAGTCGACTTGCGGTTATTTGCCTTTTCTGGCGAAAAGGAGGGTATTGCTATGTGAAATTTCTCCCATTTCCTTCATTTCTGTTCTGGAGAAGGGAGCTGATGAGCCACCTTCTTGATCCACTGCAATCGTTGCGGTGCAGGCGCACTCACATTGTAAATCAGAAGGGAAACCTCATGTAATCGAGACTGTGATAGCTCGTGTTCACTTTTCGTGGGTCATTCTTACTCTTATTCTTTTCATTTCCTGACTTGAGCAGTTTCCAGTAAGTGGCGATGGATTAAACCTCCAGTGTATTTGGAGGAGCAGTTTGAAAATGCCCCAGGGTATTAGGGTATTGGCATCCGGTGGAAAATTGATGTTGTAGCTCGGCATAGCCGAGCAGCTAAGAAAATGGATGAGGAGGATAGTCTTCCTCGAAGCCCTTACTGGCGCGTTCACTTTTGTTGTGTTCTGGCAGCAACATCGCAAAAATCATTTTTGAGACAATCGGTCCTATAACATGGTGTCGTGTGGCCTCTGGTATTTGCTCTTGCCCAGAAGTGGAAATCTTCGCCGGAATACTGACTGGCTCACCAGAAAGACAGGGAAAGTGAAAGGAATTATGATAATGTTACTCGCGCCTGGACTGCCTGCAGAACAATTTTGCAATGGGATCTGCCGTTCTCAGATTCTATATCTGCTTACCATTGGAGACGAAGGATTATTTTTTTTTCGGAGCCACTTATTTTGCATACAGACTTAATAACTGTCAGTTTGTTGCGCGGTATCATCTTGTAAGTGGCTCACTCGGCTTTGTGCATTTTCCCTGTCGTCCAGTGCTGATCATATTTCACTTACACCTGAAAGTTATTCTGGTTTGAACAAGGGACCGAGTCATATTCCAACGTCAAAATGTAAATCCCAGAAATGTCGTAGAGTTCGTATTTTCTTTATCGGAATATACATTCTCACAGACACAGCATTTGTTGGCCACCAAGTCTGAAAATATACGTTCAGCTTGCCATTCATTTTCGTTTTGATTGAAGGGCGAAAGATATTTGTTGCAGCACATATCACACCCGTGAAAGTATAGGAGGAGTAGAATGGGGATCGATATAAACCAGTGACTAATCTCCCCAGAGCCCGATGTACAATAGTGAACATTCGGCCCCAGTGCCTCATGTTAGACCGTGACGACTCTCCCCCCGATCCCAGTATAAACCAGTGAACTTTCTCCCACATTTTCCGATATAAAACAGTGAACATTCCCTCGCAGAGCCCAACATAAAAGAGTGAACATTATACTCCAGAGCCCGATATGAAACGGTCACCTTTCTCATCCAGAGCCAAGTATAAAATAGTGACACCCGCTAATCCTCATAAACCCGTATTTAGCATGGCTTACTAACCTGGCCGGCACATCCCCGCACACAACGGAGCAATTTCCCATCGCAATTATATGAATTATATGAAGCCAAAAACAGGAAAGGCTTGTTGGATTAGTGGTATGACCCTTACTTAGGGTACTATGCAGTGTGAACATGTGAGAGGTCCTGGATACATCTCCTCGATGACCCCAGGTATGTTATTTCACTTTTGGGGGAGGGGGGATTACAATGCTGTCAGGCAAGAACTTCGGAGAGGAATTTGGGCATAGATGTTCTCAGAGAAATGCACGACAGAAATGCGGAGGTTGTCGGGGGAGCACTTGCTACAGCTACTGGATAGGTTTGTCCCACTGAGGCAAGGAAAGGATGGCAAGGTGAAGGAGCCTTGGATGACAAGACAAGTGGAACATCGAGTCAAGAGAAATAAGGAAGCTTACTTAAGGTTAAGGAAACAAGGGTCAGACAGGGCTCTAGAGGTTGACAAGGTAGCCAGGAAGGGACTGAAAATGGACTTAAGAGAGCAAGAAGTGGGATGTAGCAGGTAGGATTTTAGAAAATCCCAAGGCATTCTATAATTATGTGAGGAACAAGAGATAGTGGAGGGAACTTGTGCACAGAGTCGGACGAGGTAGGGGAGGTCGTTAATGAATACTTTGCTTCAGTATTCACCAGTGAGAGGGACCTTAACATTTGTGAGGATAGCATGAAAAAGGCAGATAAGCTCGAACAGGTTGATTTTAGGAAGGAGAATGTGCTACAAATTTTGAAACACATGAGGATAAGTAAGTACCCTGGGCCAGACGGGATATGCCCAAGGTTGCTACGGGAAGTGAGGGAAGAGAATGCTTCGCCTTTGGTGATGATTTTTGCCTCCTGACTGTCTACTGGAGTACTACCAGATGATTGGATGGTGGCAAATGTTATTCACTTGCTCAAGAACGGGAATAGGGATAATCCTGGGAATTACAGAACAGTCAGTCATTCTGTAGTGGGCAAATTATTGGAGAGGATTCTGAGAGACAGTATTTATGATTATTTAGACAAGCACAACTTGATTAGAAATAGTCAATGTGGCTTTGTAAGTGGCAGGTCATGCCTCACAAGCCTTATTGAATCCTTTGAGGATGTGGCAAATTACATTGATGAAGGTTGAACAATGGATATGGTGCATATGGATTTTAGATAAGCATTTGATTAGGTTCCCCAAGGTGGGCTCATTTAGAAAGTTAGAAGACATGGGATTCATGGAAGTTTGGTTGTCTGGATACAGAATTTGCTGTCCAATAGAAGCCAGAGGTTTGCAACAGATGGAAATTATTCATTCTGGAACTTGGCGATCAGTGTTGTTCTGAAAGAATCTGTTCTGGGAACCCCACTCTTTGTCATCTTTATAAATGACTTGGATCAGGAAGTGGAAGGATGGGTCAGTAAGTTTGATGACACAAAGGCTGGTGGCATGGTGGATAGTGTGAAGGGCTGTTGGAGGTTGCAACGGGACATTGACAAGATGCAAAGCTGGGCAAAGAAGTGGCAGATGGAATTCAACCTGGAAAAGTGTGAAGTGATTCATTTTGGAAGGTCGAATTTAAATGCTGAATGTAGGGTTAATTGCAGGATTAATGTGGAGGAACAGAGGGATCTTGGGGTCCACATCGATAGACCCTTCAAAGTTGCTACCCAAGTTAATAGGGTTGATAAGAAGGTGTATGGTGCGTTGGCTTTCATTGGCAAGTGAATTGAGTTGAAGAGCTGCAAGGTTATGCTTCAGTCACTGAAAACCCTGGTTAGACCACACTTGGAATATTGTGTTCAGTTCTGATCGCCTCATTATAAGAAGGATGTGAAAGCTTTAGTGAGGGTGCAGAGGAGATTTACCAGGATGCTGCCTGGACTGGAGGCCAGGTCTTATGAGGAAAGTTTGAGGGAGCTAGGGCTTTTCTCTTTGGAGCGAAGAAGGATGAGCTGTGACTTGATAGAGGTATATAAGATGATGAGAGGCATAGACAGTGTGGATACCCAGAGACCTTTTCCCAGAGCGGAAGTGACTATTATGAGGGGGCATACTTTTAAGGTGATTGCAGGAAGGTATAGTGGAGATGTCAGAGGTAGGTTCTTTACACAGAGAGTGGTGGGTGCGTGGAATGCGCTGTCAGCGGTGGTAGTCGAGTAAGATACATTAGGGACATTTAAGCAAGTCTTGGACAGGCGCGTGGATGATCGTAAAATATAGAGTATGCAGGGTAGTTTGATCTTAGAGTAGGATAATTGTTCGGCACGACATCGTTCGCCGAAGGGCCTGTGCTGTACTCTTCTATGTTCATCGTGTTCAATTCACCTAGCCTGCATAATTTTAGACCGTGGGAAGAAATTGCAGCACTCAGGCGCAGACATGGTGAGAATGTACATAATCCACGCAGACATCAGCTCAAGCTGAAATCGAAGCTGGGTCCTTTTT